AAAAAAAAAACATAAAAAAAGAAGGTAAATTACTGAATAAATGTGCTTGAGTACAACATAGTGAAAATGTATACCCACAAGTGGAACATTCTGATTTTCCCACACCTTCTGCCCGAGGGTAGCCATCCTCAGGAGTAGGTGCATTGGGATTTTATGCTTTTGGGAAGCCTTGGGAAGGCTTCTTTTTAGCAAAAGACTCTTGTCAGCATCTTTCTACTATGGTATGTCTTTTGCTTCTTGCTAGTTCATTCCATTATGCCAAGGTAATGAGCACTGAGTCTTTACTTCAATCCAATAATAAATAATAAATAACCATGCATGCCTCAATAAATATTCATGGGATGCTCACTCTATGCTTGGTACTATGTTAAGTGCTGCCAGGGACACAGGAATAGACAGTTTGCTTTGTAAATCTTTTCCCTGAAAGCAGGCGTTGAGAGCCATTTTGAAGATTCTGGTTTACTATTCTTGTTAATTATTGAGTATGACGGCAATAAAATTATTAGTTTTTCCTTAAGACTTGTAGTATACCACTTTGCCATGCCTATTACCATCCTAGAATCAATCTAGTAGAATAGTAATGATAAAAATTCCTTATATTTCCATACATTGTGACTAAGTTTGAACCAGTGGAATGTCAGCAGGGATGATGTATATCATTTCTGGGTTAAGGCTTTTAAAAAATGGAGTGTCACCTCTCCATGCTCTCTCTTTATGCTGGGGTGGGGGGTGGTAAAGAAGACAACATGGCCCTAGAGGATGGTGAAACCCAGAACGCTAGATGTGGGCACAGAGGAGTCCACAAGGCCAGGGGTGTGCCCACCCAGAGCCCAGACTCCCCCTTCTAGACCACTCTTCAGGTTGCTGGAGTCTCCCTTCCATGGCCTCTGTGCACCTCTTCCCCATACTCTTCCTTACAGTGGGACCATCCACTGCAGTGTGCACCCCTATGCCTAAGGGATGGCCAGGAGGTGGCTCTTTGCAGGAGTGTGGATAGAACTTGAACTAGGGCACCCTCACATGTGCACATGAGGCTCCTTGAGGTCAGAGACAGCTGGAAGTAAAGGGAGGAGAACAGTCAGGATGGTGGTGTAGAAATCCAAGGAGTTCGAGAATTCTTTATGGAAACCTGACCTTCAAGGTCTTTAAGAAGGTACATTTGTCAAGGTAGAATGTTAGAATATATTTTCATTAACAGTTTGTTTCAAAAGTTCTTTAACTTTTAAATATTTGGTATTTGGTATTAAATGTTTGGTATGTGTTGGGTTGCCAGATAAAATATAGGATGTCTAGTAAAATTTGCATTGCAGTTTAAACAATAAAAATTTTCTTGGTATTTGTGTCCCAAATATTGTGCAGGACATATTTATACTAAAAAGGCATTCATTGTTTCTCAATAGCTAAAATTTAATTAGCCATTCTGTATTTTTATTTGTTAAATCTGACAACCCCAGTATGAGTTTCCATTTGTATACTTGACAGAGGCCCGTGAACATTAAGATGGGCCTGGTGGAGCTACAGGATGGGCAGAGCCTGGCTCCGGTCCCCAAGTGCTGGAAAGCTGCTGCTGAGCAGGCACCCCGTCTTGGACTATTGCAGGAGTGAGGGTAACTCCTACTGGCTTTGACCCATACATTTTTAGGACTGTTTATTACAGCCAGTAACTATGATTATTAGGCCAAGAAAAAAATTCTGCATTCCTTGCTATGATTACTACAAAAATCTCCAGGCTGCAGAAAAGAAAGCAGAGCTTGTAGGAGCAGGGTACAAGCAGCGGGAAATGCAGCCCTCTAGGGACCAAACCTCCTTCCTAGCAACATGAGTCCTTTGGGGCTCCCTTCTAGGGGCCTGGAGCCATTTCTCCAGAGTGGAATCTCTACCACAGTGAGAACCTCAAGGGGCCATGCTTTCCTGTAGTTTTAAAAATAATAACAACAAATATGTATATAAAACAGAATGCATGCAAAATAAAATGTCACAATGTTATCTATGCATATACATGTATATGTATAACAGGACAGCTAACATTTATATGAAGTGCTTATTATATATTTAAGTATTCTGCAACTGGCTTCATATGGATTCTCTCATTTAATTCTTGAAATAATCCTATGAGATAAGTTTATTATTATTCCCATTTCATAGGTGAGGAGAATGAGGTAAAATGGATTCAATCATATAGTTACAGATTGGTATTTGATCACATAATGTCTGACCCTAAGACCAGCTTTTATAGGGAAAAATCTGTGCTTCAGTCAAATACTATTTTCTATAGAACACCTTATCAGATGATCAGATTTTGATCCTGTGGGATCAATTTTACAGCTTTGTAAATTGTAAATAACTCATAGCAGTGCAAAATAATTCTTGTCTATAGACATGTAAATGAATTTTGTCCAGTGGACAATCTCCCCTTCTGTGCAAAATCCGGGTTTGTGTCCATTTGCACATTCATTTCAAAATAGCTTGACTTCACATAAATTTATGCTTTGGCTTTACCTTTGAATCAGTGATAACAATCTGTCTGGTTCCTTCATTTAATTAATGATCTAAATAAAAATTTTTACTTGTGTTCATTGAGTATCTGTCTAAGAGTCATGATTTTGCTTTTTAAAAAAATTATCTTTCAACAGTTTAAACACAAGACTGTCACAGATGGCTCCTGATAACAAAAAGGAAAGAAACACATGTAGAAATATATAAGTCAGCAATGCAGAGGTGAGGTGTCTCCAGCCTGTTGGTTCTTGGCTGCTTGTGGTGTGGTGGGGGTCATGTTTCCCCTCTTAGATGGGCATCAAGAATGTCTCAATTTCCTCAAAGTCCAGGTATGAGAGGTTATGGCGTGGAGACAGTAAAAAATCACTTCTCCATTCTAAGGTTCACTTCTAAGTTCATCTTCCTGGCAGTCACTAGGATTGCCCAGAGGCCCTCACAGGAAGTCCAGAGGGCATGGTTCTTGGCCTCCACTGCAACAATACCCCAGGGACAGTGAGCCTGACAGTCACACAAAAGGGCTGTATGTAAAAATCATCAACCCCTGCTGATTTCTTCTATTCAAGTTTTGTTTCCTGGGATCACAGTGGGGGAGGGGGGAAAGTGAATGTGCAGGGCTGTTAGGTAATTCGTAGGTTGCTTTGAGGACCATTCTCAAAAGGAACTTTGACCCCCTGCAAAATAATCCTGCCCTTTGTGGCTCAGGTATTCTAACAAATGAGTGGATAAATAATTATACAGCCCATTAAACTAAATGTGTTAAAACCCTGTAGTATGGAAGAAACCTCAGCTGATTGCTTTCATTGGGTAGGAATGAAGATGAGGCCTGGTAGGGCATCTCTGATCTGGGCACTATGTCACAGGAACAGCAGCCCGACAGTCAAGTTTTAGGCAGCTTTTTGCACCATGAGGTGGGGGTAGTGACGACTTTTACTGTGCTGGCCCTCTTGGGGCTGAGGAGGGGTAATAGCTTAGCCCATGACAGAGAAGAAATAATCTGGAACATGAGGTAGTTATCAGGCTGTAAAGTATTCATGACCTTAGCACAATAATCATGCGGCTCTAGAAATGAGATATTTTAAAGCAGATTTTCCCAGTTTCTTTTCTGTGTAAGAAAGCACATTAGCGAATGTGTTGTTTCAAATGACTGGAGCAGACGTACCTTACTTTCACTTTCATTGGACAGAATTTCCAGCGCTTCCAGGTGTGACAAGCCTTGATATTCATCAAACAGCATTCCGTAGTGTGCAGTCCTCTTGGCCGGAAGCTGCTGTGCCAGTCTCTGCTTCTCTCTCTCCTTGGCTTCCCTTAACATCTGCAGAAACACACAATGTTTGAACACTAGGTCTAAGCTTGAAAGCCTCATTTGCTGCCTAAGATGTGGGGCAGGTGACAATTGTCATTTGTGAAGAATAGGTTTTAATCACTTGGAAATTTCTTAAAAAATGATGTTTTGTGGTGTGGGGGGATCATGGGGAAGACAGTGTAGCACAGAGAAGACAAGTAGTGACTTCGTGGCATCTTACTACACTGATGGACAATGACTGCAATGTGGTATGAGCGGGGACTCGATAATGTGGGTGAATGCAGTAACCACATTGTTTTTCATATGAAACCTTCATAAGAATGTATACCAATGATACCTTAATAAAAAATATCAATTAAAAAAATCAATTAAAAAATGAGAAAATGTTCATCAAAACGTTAATAAATTCTGGTATATCCATATTGTTGAGTACTCCTACTACTAAGCAATACAAAAGGATAAACGACTGAGACATGCAGCAACATGGATGAATCTCAAAAGCACTATGCTATGTGAAAGAAGCCAAAACAAAAACAACTCATTGTATGATTTTGTTCACACAAAATTCTAGAAAAACCAAAACTAGTGACAGAAAGCAGGTCAGTGGTTACCAGGGGCTGCAAATGGGAGAGAGGATTAATATAATAAGCATAAGGAAACTTTCTGAGGTGATGGAAATGTTCTATATCTAGATTCTAGTGATGAATACACAACTGTACATATTGACAAAATACATTAAACTGTACTCTTAAAAAAAAGATGTCATATATTCTTTTTGGCAGATGCCTAATCGATAACCTTGGCTGGAAATATAGAAAACCAAACCAATCCACTGGAATAGAACAATGATTTTTTTCATGCACCCATCATACTCACTCAATTAATTAAATTAGCATTAGCTGCTGAACAAATAAATCCTACAATTTTGGTCTGACAAAATAAAATTTTATTTCTACTCAAAAAAAACAAAAAAGATGTTTTGGATTGATTCCATGGACAGTTCTTATGTAATATTCCACTATGAATTTTAGTTTTTTACATATGTGATAAGACAAAGCCAAAATTTGATGCCTGGGAATAGCAGAGGAAAGAAGCAAAACCAAAGCTGAACGGTGGTCTCCAACTGAAGCGTTTTCAACATGCGATTTTCTTATTTTCTAAAATGTCCAAATCTTCTATAATGAGTAAATTTATGTACACTGGGAAAGTTTTAACTGTTATGACAGGATTAACTGCAAATTCTGTCCTTGAGCAAACTTCAAAGCCAAACTTTGCTTAGACAGCAGGGCAGTCTAGGATGTTCCCACACTATCTTCTCTTCCAATCCTCCTCATGTGTTGAATTTGCACCTTGGTCTGCTGGCTCTCCCAGCCTTCTTACCCCTCCGCACATGTATTTTTCTCTCATGTAGGCACTACAGCTAACAAAATCCTCGCACTGCTTCGGGGAGAACCTAGACTGATCCACACGCTGACTGGTCTCCCTGCCGTGGCCCTCCTCTCTACCCAGTCTATTTTTCAGCATACTCACTGGAGTGATGCTTTTAAAGTGAGATCTTGTCACCCCTCTCTTCAAAACGCTGCAATGATTTCCCTGTTTCACTAACAGTAAAGCCCAAGGTCCTTCCAAATGCCCTCTGTGACCTGCCCTCCCTGCTCCTCATCACCAGTCTGGCCTCTTCATCACTAACTCCCATCCTGGCTTACTCCTTCCTCTCCTACCACATACTAGCCTTGTGACTTCTCCTTCATAGCAGATGCTTCTGCCTCAGGGCCTTTGCACATGCTGCCTTCTGCATGGAATGTGCTTCACCCCAATGTCTGCATGGTCGAGCCCCTCATCTCCTTCAAGTATTTGCTCAAATGTTATCATCTCCATAAGACCATCCCACCCACCCAATTTAATACTTAACCTGTCCCTCACTCCCACATTCCTGATTATCTTCTTCCTTCCCTTTTTTTATTTTTCCTGCACAGCACTCATCATCTTCTAAAATACTAAGTAATGTTGATTCTTTCTTTCCTCACTGGAAAGAAAACTTAAGGACAGGGATTTTTATCCATTTTGGTTACTACTGTATTTCAAGTGCTTGGAAAGGTGCCTGGCATAGAGCGGACATTCAAAGTGCATTTGTGGAATGAATGAATAGATGAATGCATGAGTGAAAAACTGCTGTTCAGAAGGAGATTAAAGTTGGTAGTGCCGTGGTGATGATGTGAATTATAGGTGACACCCAAGTATGCCCTAGAATGTTGTGTACCACACGTTTTGGATGTGTTTCAGGTGCGTAATTAAAATAGATGCTGCAGATGGCAAAGTGTGGATTCATTGACGATAAATTTCTATGAACATTGCTACTTAAATTTTAGCAGTAGATTGCATGCAGATGTGATAAGATTTGTGAAGGAGGTGCAAAACTACAGTAATCTGGGCAACTGACAAGGTCCAGTTCTTCATTTTACAGGTGTATAAACCTAAGCTCAGGAAGCCATAGAGTTAGCCATTTTCTGGACCTGGTTATATTTTTCCCCACATTATCACCCTCTTAACTAAAATCAAATTTATATATACATATATTTATACATGTATATATACACACATATATGTTTATATGTATGTATGTGTGTATATATAATATATTTTATATGTATGTATGTGTGTATATATAATATATGGAATATACATACTGATAAGGAAAGATTTTGAGATGTCTTAAAATTAAGTGACACAAAGGCTGGAGAATGGGGGAGAGAGACAAGGGAAGGTAATCAGCCAATAGTTGTGGGCCATAGCTAATCAAAACTCTTGTGTTCCTGGATGAAGTCATTTCAACAATCATCTATAAGGTTCTCAGAATCACTGAAACCTTCCTGAGCGTGAAGAGTGCCTGACCATCATCAACAAGCATTTCACAGCCTTCTCTCTGGACCAACCATGTATCCCCAGACTCTCCTTGCTTCAAGTTAACCCACCTTATCTGCAGCCAATGTGAATTTAGAGAACTTCCTTTCCTTGAAATGCCTCACAAATGTGCCCTACTTCTTGTGTCCGGAGGACAAATTGTTTCTGTGAACTGGCTTTGCTACTGGTGAAGCACAACTTCCTGTCCCAGGGCTGACAGCTTGTTGCTGCAGCTGCAAAGGCTCAATAAGTCATTTAAGATCTCTTGGTCTCCAGAGGTTTTGATTTGTCTGTCTTTATACATACATATATATATAATCTTGTGGCAAAGATATTCCTATGTGCTCACCAGGTAGCCTTTTCCTCCTAGACACGTAGCTGAACTGTATTTCTCAGCCTCCCCACCCCACTCTACGAATTGAATTAGGTGGACTTCTGTGATACATTTTGGCCAGAGGAATGAGGATACAGGTGATGTGTGACATTTCCAGGGCTAGTCTTAAAATTGTCCCACATGGCCCTCTTCATCTTTTCTTCCCCTTTCCATGCGGAAGTAAAGGATTTCAGACTGGCAGAGCCACAAGCTGTGGGCTCAGGAGAGAGCCCGAACAGGACACTCGCACTGCAGGTGTGAAAGATATTTTTGTTGTAAGCTGCAATGATACTGGGGTTGGGGTTTTTTATTTTTGTTTTGTTTGGTTTTCTTTCTTTCTTTATTTTTACAACATGTAGCATTAATTACCTGGTTAATACAAATCTTTTTAAAGACCAGCAGCTTGGTGGTTTGGATGATCTTGCCAAGTCCCTACCTGGGTTATAATATCAGCATGGCTATGTGCGGGTTATTCAGGAAGAGACAGACGAACAGCTTAAGACCAAAGGTCTTCAGGAAGGGTCACTGACATGTTGTCAATGATGGCTCCTTCCTGGCTTCCCAGCCCTGTGCCAGGAGGAGCTATGCTCGCTCTGCCTGTGAAAGTTACAAAATCCACTGCTGCATCAGCCCCTCCACATTTGTTGCATAAAGGGCACAGAGACCCAGTGTATCAGACTCTTAAGAAGGAAGAGGATAAGGGACATGCTTACACTGTAGGGTATGAGCTGGGCATGTGCCATCTGAAAAAGCAAGTTCAGTATTAGAGTTTTGTACTTGGAAAACAAGATAAATATTATTTTTAATTTTCTTGACTACTGTAAGTAAGCCAAACATAGATTGATACCATATTTCTCAAAGAGGGTTGGAAAACTTCACAGATGAAAGTGTGAGAGAAGCCCATCCTTAAGCTGTTCATCTGTCTGCAGATATAGCAGAAATATAAATTAAAATTTTAATGAGATATCATTTCCACCTATTATATTGACACGAAATAATGGCAACAATAGCTAACATTCCTGAATGCTTACTAGAAGTCAGTTTCTATTCTAACTCATTTAATCCTCACAACAAAGCTGTTGGTAGGTACTGATGTTACCCACAATGAACAGATGAGTAAACTGAGGCACAGAAGGGTTAATACCCTGCTCAGTGGCATGCAGCTACAAAGTGGCAGAGCTGGAATACATGCAATGGGCTGAATACCTGTGCTCCCCGCCCCTCCCAAATTCATGTGTTGAAAGCTAACCCCCAATGTTATGGTATTTGGAGGTGGGGGACTTTGGGAGGTGATTAGGTCAGGAAGGGGGAGCCTGCATAATGAGGTTAGTGCCCTTATTCAAGAGACTCTGGAGAGCTCCCTTGCTCCATCCACTGTGTGAGGATGCGCAGAGAAGATAGCTTTCTGTGAATCAAGAAGTGGGCTCTCAGCAGACAATGAATCTGGCACCTTGATCTTGGACTTCCCAGTCTATGGAACTATGAGAAGTAAATGCTTGTTGCTTAAAGGCCACCCAGGCTATGGTATTCTGTTATAACAACCTGAATGGACTAAGACAAATGGCATAAATAGGATAATCTTCAGAAATTCCTGAAGCAAATAAAGCAAAGGCACAAACGAGTGTGATTAGTGTGCTGCCATTTGGTCAAAAAGTATACATGTATAATATGTGTGTGTGTCTAAGTGTAGCCACATACATCCATCTACATTAGCTATTATATCCATATCTATACACCTCTGTTTATATCTAAATGGTCATTCTGATAGACTCCGTAAGAAGCTGTTAATAGTGGTTGTCTTCCATGAGGAACTAAGTGGCTGGAGAAAGGTGTATTAGACACTCAATTATTTTCATCCAACTATTTTGTGTCATTTGAATTTGAAGCATGTGCTTTAAAGTATCTATTAGAAAAGGTAAATAAAAACGTATTTACTTTATTGACCGAAAAAAAATAATTGCAAAAGTGTATAATCCCACCTGAGATAAGGAAACAGTTCTCTCCATGAGTGTCTTGGTCCGCTTAAAACCTGGGTCACTTTCCGCAAGGACATTCATGGTTTTTTTGCCGATGAATTCCAAAGCATCAAGGCCTCCAGTTAGGACACTTTTACCCTGCAGATGAGGTAATTGCATGAGATTAGACTTTTGATTTTGCTGTTGTGCAGCAGTTAGCAGCTCTAGAGGGAGCTATTTTCAAATATTAAAATCAATACAGAGTCACAATCTTTTCTCATCAGGAGATTTATCATTTAGTTAATCCTATTTTCTTTTCCTTGGAAAAGCATATGTCATTTAATTTGTAGGACATACAATGTTATTAAAAAAGGATGCTTGGAAAAACCAAAGCAATGTTTGGGATTAATTTTACTGGCTTGGTGCATATGAATAGATATGTATCTAAGACATAAAATTAATAGGGAACCCAATTGCTATTTTCATTTGAAAAAATGTTAACCCGAATAACAGAATTATTTGGAGCAGTCTATTAACATGTCAAATACTTTTGCCAATTTACAGGTTTCTTTAATCCAGGGTGCTGGAGTGTAGAATCCTCAGGCTGTTTCTGATGGCTCTTGCATACTTTCAGAAACTAGCAATGACCGCCTATAATTAGTATATTCATGAAGTAAGACAGGTTGCTTTCCATATACTACTGTTCTATTTAGAAACTGTTCTATTGTACAGTTATTGCCCTGCAAATCCCTTTGCCAGGCATTGTTTTCCTTTAAAAAAAGTTCAAATCACCAAGATTTATTCACATAATCTGTTCATATATACAGCACCACTTGCATTTCTGCCACATTGCAAAATATGTACACATACTCCAACGAATGGTATGCATAAATTGGTTTCTTTCTCCCTTACATGAATTTACATACATTATATTTTATTATATTATTACCTATATGCATTTCCCAATCTACATAATACTGCTTCAATAGCAATATTTGATTTCACTGAATTAATACTCTTTATTAGTCATTTCCATCTTGGACCTTTTTTTTTGGATTTGGGAAGCAATTGATAATCACACTAAAAAAAAGATTTTAAGATACACATACTTTGGGAGAACAATGGGATATCAGCAATTCACACTTTTGTCTAGTGGGATTTATTTTCTCCTAACATCCTATGATGCATTACTTCAGTAGAGAATAAAATGGGACACAGGGGCTCTGAGTAAGGGCAGACCTGGAAGGGGGTGCCTTGAGCTTGGGAAAGGGAGTACCATGAGGGTGGAGAGGACACAGAGAGAAACCGGAGGATGCTGAAGACCAACTCCCAGTGCCCTGCCCGGCTGCTCAGGGAGACCATGACTTCATTTCTTATCCCAGAGATATTGAAAGAGCTCCTTCCCATCACAGCCCCACAAACTCACCCCTCATACTGGGTTTGTATTGCCATTTGACTCCTCAAAAATATTTGCTGCTCCTCCTTCCCTCTACTTAGTCTAGAGGTCCTCAAGTAGCCAGGCAAGGAGGAATCATTTTCAATTTCTGTATGCCCTAACGCCAGAGTCTGGGTGCATTCCCAGACCCCTCTTCTTCCCATATTGTACTCTCTTTGCCTGTTGTGTTGTCTCTGTCTTTCCGGATATTGTGTTTTCTAGTTTGTCAGTATATACCCAGCGCCTAGCATGGCTCCTGGCACACAGTAAGGGCTATGTACGAGGATAGCCCTGGGTATTAAAAAAAAAGCAAACAAACCATTTTTGTTTATTTAAGGATTAAATGAATAAATTGGACATGAACCATATTTCTAGAAAAACCAGCTCATTGGTTTCACATAGAAGAAAATAAACTTTTCTTCCTGACTCTAAAGACCGGCAAGCTGCCTCCTCTCAGGTGGGGTGCCTCCCCTTTTTTTATTATTCATCAGTGTTTTGTTGCCAGTAACAAGGTTCTCGAAAAGGCAGGCAGGGACTGGGTGGGGGTGGGGCAGTGCATAACAGGGTTTTTCAAGGAAGTGGGAGAGTGGGAATTGGGAGGTAGGGAGCAGAAGAATGTTGGTCTTAAGTTATCTGGAGACACTTCAGAAACATTCTGGGGATGTTATTCCTGACTCCTTGCCAGCATTTTTTAAATTTGAATGGCTTTATAATTTTTCAAATGGAAGGTTAAGAGACACAGACCATCTAGGAAAAACAGCGGCCTCAGCCCTGTGAAAGAGCCCTCCCTCTGCCCCAACCAGGGGCTGTCCTTGTCACAGTTGGAAAGGACACTGTTACAACAGACTGAAAAATGTTCCTTCTAAGCAACTCCTTTCTACTAAACATAAAATATATTTCATTTTTCCTTATTATTTTGGTGCCAGGGTTACACCTACTCTGCAGGAGAAAGCATAACAAAACCATAACCCAAGTTATGAACAAGGCTATGTTTTCTCTGATGTATCTAGGTCACTGGTAAGTGGAGATTTCCAGAGAAGGAGCTGGAAGACACTAGGGAAATCAGAGGAAGCCGCTAATGACTTACTGTGTTTTGCACCACGTTGGTGATGGCTGACAGCATGCCCTGGGAGCCTGACGAAGGAGAAGTGGATGGGCTTTCTGTGGGGCTCTGATCTGTGGGCACATCAGCTACTAGAGAGAAAAACATCCTTTTAGAGTTAGTTTTGTGGATCTGAATTTTGGGATCTATTTGTGTACATAGTATTACACAGTCCAAGTCCAAGGAGCCCCCAAAACAAATACACCACTCACTTTGAGGGTCTCCATTTTCGGTATCAGGTTGGGCCCCTTCAGAGGAGCCGGAATTCACACTGTGAATCCGTAGTGTGGCTCCTGCTTTTTCCTTGACTGCTGTCAATCCATGACCTTTAGGAAATAAAACCAGGGTTCCTAAGTACAACAGAAATCCATGATCTGCAAACTCTGTAGCTTATCTTGCAGAGTTGTTCAAGCTGTAGGTGTGCATCCCAGTTGTAAGAGAGCCTAGTAGTTGAAAGCATAGACTTCGCAATCCCTCGGATGTAGGATCACATGTCCAGCTTGAGCTCAGCTTTGCCACTGCCTAGCTGGGTGGCCTTGGAGAAGTCACCTTACCACCCCATGACTCAGCTTCTTCACTGGGTTGTTGTGAGGTGCAAATGAGATAAACATATGTCAAGTGCTCCAGATGTACTGTTACTCCTGTTTGCTTCTCACACTAGCAATAATATTCAAGGTATTATCTGTGAATAGTGTCTGTCCCTGCTTTACCCTCTTCCCTCTACGCTCCTTGAGACAGGTACACAACATTCATTTTTATTAATTCCTGGCAGTTCTAGCCTATTGCAGATGCTCAATGAATATTTGTTGAATTGAAAATTGAAATCAGGTGAGCCTCAACATGCCCTTTCAAGGTGTTAGTCATTCCTCTAGTATGAAGAGTGCAGGGTCTTGAGCTGATGTGTCAAAATCAAAAGGCAGGTCAGTGGGAAAACCAGGAATGGTGCCCAACAGCTCTGACAGCTGTTTTAAGCAGTTTCAGACACAAGCTATGAAGTAGTTAGTGGGATGAAGGGCACTGGTTTTACTCCATATAAGCAGGGACAATACCCATATTCCCCAGAGCCTAGCATAACAGGTATTCAATAACCATTTGGTAAATACAAAGCTGACTTCTTATTCTCCACCCCCAACAACCCTTGGCCTGTTGAGAAATAGTACTGTCTACATTCTATTCTGGAGTGATTTTTTTTTTCTCCTCAGAGGCCCCTGTGATGAGCAGCTATAGCTTTTCTTAGAGAGTTCCCAAATGGAATGAAAATATTTATAGTCTACTGATGGTCCTAAGTGGCTGTTTGAATTCTAGAAGGAGAAACAGGCTGCCATCATCAGCTCACACCACCTTAGCACACAGAGAGAAATGAAAGATTTCACTAGGGCCATGGCTAACATCAGCTGTTAAACCCAAGGTAGCAGCAATATTAGGAAGAGTCCCAAGTCATGGCAGGATTTGAGAGCCAAAAAAAAACATATAGTCTTAGAAAGCACTGTTAATTACCAATTCTCCACTCCTGAATTAGAGAAAGACATGGATGTATCCCAAACCCAAATAGTAGTACTTTTACCAGTTGTAACTTTATCAGAACAATCTTAATATAGTCAGGACATTGATATTTACCAACTAGGCAAAGGACTAATTATATCACTGGGAATCACCTGTCACTATACATCATTTAGAAATTTATTTACAATGTTTACAACATCAATTACATACAGAAATATATGTCTATATTCATGTGCAGCTCATTAGACATAGTTCAAATTCATTTCTGGCTTAGTTGGAAAAAAGATGCACTATAGCTGCTAAAACTGAGTTGAATGAATTCTCTCTAGCTTCTCTAGCATTTCAATAGAAACTTAGGAGGGTTCCAGTAACACATTTAAGCTGTAGGATACAATCATCTAACTTAGTTATATACTGAGTCCATCTTTTAAAAACACATGTATTTTCCAAAAGGAAGTAATGCATATCCAAATCTCAATCTAAATTCTCACGTAGATTTCTGAGAGCTAAAATCAAGAAATAAATGCATTTGAAAAGACTGGGAGGTATCTGCTACATCTTCTTTGCATAAACCATACAAGAAAGATGACTTCACATCCTTCCCTGAGACCATTCAAGGTTTAAAGAATCTTATTGCCATTATCTCCTCTTTGACCTTCTGTATCCCTTGTAAGTTA